CCCTTGAATACATCTTTACAAATCTTTCCATTTGAAAAGGACACCACTGTGCTGGAAAACGGGTCCAGCGTCCCATGTTGAAACTTTATCCCCCTTCCTAGCCTGTGGCCAGGTCAGGTAAAGGGTGGAAGGCCACTGGGGGCACCAGTGGAGATACAACCTGTACCCTTTCAAGAAAAAACTCTTGTATTCAGATAAAATTACTTCTCTTTGTTGGAGGTCAGCGCCTGCCCTTGTGCTCCCCACCACTGACATGCTAAAGCACCAACCGGGACCCCACACACACACTCTCTTCGAGTTGTGTATAGCAATAATGAGAAAACATGCATACAGCATAATCACTACCTTACCCTTCCCGAACCACATAAACAAACGAGCTAAGGGCTGCACACCCGTGCCCTCACGGTAAGTCGATGAATTAGAGTAGGATTAGAATATAGGGTAGAGTAGAGGCGAAGGCCCAGTAGATGTAGGCAATGGAAGAGTAAGCCGGCTGATGCTGCCGGGATAACTCCGGGTGGAATTGTGAGGATCCCCGGCCTCGTGGGTACGTGTCTGTTTCGAAATTGAAGGTCAGTGTTATTGCAAAAAAAAAAAAAAAAAAAAAAAAAGAAACTGGTCTGGTGACCCTCACAAATTCCGACCGTTATGGCATGATCGGGGCACTTCGGCCAGGTTCATTCCCTGCTTTTCTGCATCTCCGAGTAGTACACGTCCAGATTCATGCGCTTGATTCCATCCTCCTTGATGATAGTGGGACGTCACCCGGAGCGACTTGGTGGGCGCTTTATAGGGTCCGTAGGTTGTCCAGCTCACTGCCCAACCCATTCATATCCTCTGCCGTTCTCCTCTCTCTCCCCACGAGTCCGTTTCTACCCACTCCATTCGACTCCACTCCCACTCCACTCCACTCCACGCTTACTCCACTACTCCCCCGCTCGACCCATCAGTGCCGCCCTGGGGGGTTTGTAGTTTGATATCGTGGGCCTTTTATTTGGCTCTACTAGGCGTGTTGTCGTGGTAGCACGTGCTGGCCCGCTCTTCCCCGTGCTTCTGTCGACTCAGCTCTGCTTGCTCATGTGCCACGTGTCGCGCTTTACCAGCAGCCATAGCCAATTCTTGTTTTTTTTTTTTTTTTAAGCCATAGCCAATTCTACTTCTTTGCTCGACTTTATTTCGGATTTTTTTTTTCCCCCCTCCTCTCTTTGTTCTAGCATCAGCTTCAGGGAACGATCTGCGCGTAGCCTCCTTTCGCCGTTTCGTCTCTCTCTCTCTCTCTCTCTCTCTCTCTCTCTCTCTCTCTCTCTCTCTCTCTCTCTCTCTACCTATGAGTCTCCGTGTCGAAGACGAGAGGAAGGGAGCTTGTGAATTTCTGATGTATTTGTGGAAGTATTCATTCATCATTCTCTCTCTGTTCTCTGTGTAGATCTTCCTCTCGTTCTCTCGCCGACGAGAGTGGAAGAGTTTGCCAGACACTGACGTATTCGATTGGACAAGACCATCTCTCTCTCTCTCTCTCTCTCCCCTCTCTCCCCTCTCTCTCTCTCCTCTCTCTCTCTCTCTCTCTCTTTCTCTCTCTGTCGCTCGCTCGATCACTGTGTGCAGGTGCTATTCTCTCTCTCTCTCTCTCTCTCTCTTTCCTTCTGTTTGGTTCCTCTCTCTGTCTGCGTCGCGATAATTTCGATGTGTATGTATATATATGTGCATATATGTTGTCGTCCTTTAGATATTGTGACATTCTGTCGTAGTCTACTTCAACAAAAAAAGAAAGAAACATATATCACCGGACAGTTCTGCGTGGCAGCACGTAAGCAAAATCATCTATCTATATCCGTTTATATGCCTACTCGTCTATCTACCCATCTATCTACCCATCTATCTTCCCATCTATCTATAGGTCTATCTACTTATCTGCCTGTATAGGGGCTCAGGTAGATATATAGATAGATATAGATAGATATAGATAGAGGTATAGATAGATTGATAGATAGATAGATTGATTGATAGATAGATTAGATAAGATAAATAAGATAAAAGATAAGGTAAGATAAAATAAGATACTGTAATTTTCTGAAGGCTGATACTTTCTTTAGACAGATTCCCATTCGGTGAATTGAACAGTTGCGGGTGAGAGAACCACCTCCTCGTTGCCGGCGCCTCTTCGCGAGGAGCGGCATTCCCACACCGTACCAAGAACACGTTTGCACGTGTGGAAAATACGGTGAGAGAATCACCTCCTCTTTCTCCCTCTGCCCCCAGGACATGTAATACTACTACGGTCCAAGAGAGAGCACCTCCTTTTTCCCTTTCTCCTACGTTTCCTCGCTTCCATTCTTCCGCGTATTTTCTCCTCCTGTCACCGTCCACGTCACTTTTCACATCGTCCTTTTGGCGCACTCGAGACTCGGATAGATGAATAGATAGACAGATAGATAGATAGATAGAGAGATAGATAGAGATAGATAGAGAGAGAGAGAGAGAGAGAGAGAGAGAGAGAGAGAGAGATTTGGCGCGCTTCGAGA